ATTAAAGCGGTCTCAGGTAGGTTTTCGCTATGTATTTCTTTTTTGGGGCTTTCCATATATATTTCTATTTATATTTCTAAATTTTTTCTAGAGTGATCGGTTTTAGTTTTTGTTTTAAGAAATATTTGATATAAAATTACAGTTTTGATGTCGTTTTATTGATAAAAATCTATATTACATAAAGACAAATATGCAATTACATTTATTTATTTATTAAGCATTGATAAGGGTTTATATTTGAGGACACCGAGAGTTTAAGACAACTTGAAGGGGTCATAAAACGATTTCCTACGTATCTTTTCACTCCTTTCAACTATAAAAATCATGCTTTTAATGTTATCAAATATTATATTTTTTATGATTTTCAACTAAATTTGAATATCGAACCGACTGCTAACAGCCGGTTGGATTATGAATATCGATTATCGAATAACGAACCGGCTGCTAACTTCACATCCATTAAAATATGTTAAATATGATAATTTTTAGTAAGGCCATCATTAAATCAAAGTTGATTGGCTGTTTCTTGACCCATAATGTATCAACTGGTTAGATAGGTATGCAATTCTGTTTCTCAAATATCCTTAAAAGACACATGTTTAAAACATGTTTACATTTAAAACATGAGAAAAGAGTAAAAAGAAATGTATAAACCAATATCATATTGAAGTGCCAATTTTGTTAAGGTTGGACAGGAAACTGTAAACAAACAATTTTCTATTTATTGCTTGGGATGTCTTTTAAAAAAGTCATACATTCCTTATTTGAATGAAGAAATTGTCTTTTATACTTTTAGTTGCAAAAGAGGGACGAAAGATACCAGAGGGACAGTCGAACTCATAGATCGAAAACAAACTGACAACGCCATGGCCAAAAATAAAAAAAAACAAACAGACAAATAATAGTACAGATGACACAACATAGGAAACTAAAGACTAAGCAACACGAACCCCACCAAAAACTGGGGGTGATCTCAGGTGCTCCGGAAGGGTAAGCAAATCCTGCTCCACATGTGGCACCCGTCGTGTTGCTTATGTTATTACAAATCCGGTAAATAGTCTAATTCGGTAGGTCACATTCGTGAAAAGGGAAGGGTATTGTAGTTACGACATAAGGAACATATCCGATATCATCTGTGAAACGGTTATTCCATAAATGCAATTTACAACTGATACAATAGCACCAGACCACTTAGATGATCCACAAATGATGCCATTCCAAAGAAATGGACTAGAAGATCAGCAAAAGAGGTAAAAAAATTAAATTTTTGACAATACTCTGTTCAAGCAGAGGACAAAAAAAATATTCTGAATCCAAATTTTCCCCATGCCTTATAGTGTTATATTTTGACTAAATAATTTTGATTAATAGCATTGAAGTGCTTCACGTGTAAAAAATCTGTCTCAAACAAAAACCATACTCCCCCCTTTGGAGCTAAATTGTTGCTCCCTTATTGTTTTCTGCTGAAAATGAATTTATTGGTGATTTATATAAATGACAATGCTTACAATCATTAACTTGTGCATTTTCGTATCCATTTTTCTTTCTTTGCAAATTTTACAAAATTTAAAACAATAAGACATTTGTTTAATTTCAAAACTATGAATACTGTTATACAATCCATAACTTCATTAAATTAATTTTTTGTTGATTTTCATGAAAAGGTGGAGGATTTGGAATATATTTTTCATCAATATCTAAAAGTTGTAGCTGTTTTTTTTATTTAGTGTTGCAAACAACGCTTTCTGTTTGTTGAATTATTTTTACTTTCTAAATTAGCTGTTTGTTCATATTGTATTCCCAGTTTCCTGCATCTCATATATATGTGATCAGCAAGAGGATCATTCTGGTTGTTAAAAGAAGAGTTTGAATTTACAGTGAGCCTGTTTAGAATAATGTTTTGATCAGGTTTTTCATTTACATCTAAGCATATAAGGAACCATAAATAGGATTGTTAAGTTGATAATCTAAAGATTTTGCTATTTTCTAGGATGTTATTTAAAATTTGAGGGGAGAACACTGCTCAGCAGTATAAATATATTCCGGATCATCTTCTTTTTGTGGGTTAATTTCTACATCAATTTCATGTACTAATTCAGAGTCGGTTTTATGTCATTTCTTGCATAATTTGTTTTATTAGCTTACTTTTCAAGTTTTTATACGACGGCAAAATAAAATTGAGAATCGAAATGGGGAATATGTCAAAAATTTGCTTTCGAGTAATGCTATCATGTCGCTGTTGCTGTCCGAAGACACATTTGGTTTCCGGACAATAACTTTAAGTAAATGGATCTCTATGACAATGTATGAAATTGTACCAGAAGGTTCAATACACAAAAGGAAGGTTAGAATTGATTTTGGGGTTTATGGTACCAACAGTTTAGGAGTCAGTGGTCAAAAACAACATTTTTGGTTTTTTTTCCATAATTTTTGGGTTTTTTCTCCAAAAATTTACCATTTTTACATTGATTATTTCTCATTTATGTATAAATGCAACAAATACTGATATGGCAGGTGATACACACCAAACAGTGTGTGTACATTATTTTATCGGTAATTTGTGCATTTTTCCTTTGATGTGTACTCCTTGTCCTTGATAATGTCGACGTCATTATCAGTGAACTGGTCATGATAAAGAAAATATATTGGGTTAGTTCGCAATTGACATGCACAAGTGCACCGCAAAAGGATCTTCTTTCCCTTTAATTCACAAAATTACACATGTTTTTTTTCGCAGAAATGCACACGTTATTTCATGAATGAAACACTTGTCATTGTTTGAAACTTTCAGTAATCAGCTAATAATAAAACGTTAGTTTAGCCTTTTTGAACGATTCACTGATTGTGTGAAAATTTGAACAGCAAATGTACGATAAACCTGATAAAATTGCAGAATTATTGATAGCTTTCCTTACTATTCACAAGGACATATCACTAACATATCTTCCATGCTATTCCGATTTGCCTGAGTTTTTATTCCTACATAGTCTGGCATGGCTGGTGCTGTTCCAAGTTGTCTTCTTTTTCTGCATGTTTCTTGAGAAGTATTTGTTTGACCTGGTCAGTCACTATAAAGTGTTACAATTCATATTTAGACGCAACACATAAATAGTGACCAAAAAGGTACCGCTTTCACATGCATGCCATGAGAGAATCTAGAAAAAAAATTAAATGTACACATTTTCAACATTTTTGTGGGACTATCATATGAAATTAAGGAGATATGTAGTTGGAGACTGCTGCTGAATAGAAATGTTTGGGCTCACCCGATACCTGTTTTCAAATTAGTCCATATTAAAGTTTGAAGGGTCCAAAATTAAAATATGTTTGATTTCAACTGACATAAAATTTTTTGTGTTTTTTTATATGCTAAATCTACATCTGTGGTTGTATCAGGCTGTGCTTGGCGAAGCATTTTATTGCTGTTTTGTTTGTACTTTATTTTATTTTGGTCATGAAAAATTAACTTGTAGTTGTGAAGTTGCTAACATTTTTAAAAGATGATAATTAGATAACTTCGCATGGTGACGACACTGATGTTTTCGTAGATTTACTTTTTCCCAGGAATGCTTCATCTGTTGATACATGTATATTCTCACTGTGAACGATTTGTATATATTTAAATATATTAACATATGTTGAAAGACGTGTATAATGTCAAATCATAACAATACAAATTGTTTTGTCTCAAAAAAAACTTGTGATTTCTGCAGTTATTTTTGTTGAATACATACATAAATATAGGTTGAAAATTGGGTACTTGGTGCAATTTAGGTACTGTGACGTTATAGCCATAATTGTTTATTGCTTTAATTGGTTGAAATGTGCACCTGATTAAAGTATTAGGTAAAGTGAAAATGTTTTGATCAGGTTTAAACTGACGCATAAAATATACAGGTGACTGCGGGAGGCAAATATTTATATTGCCTCCAAATAATGTGTCTGCAGCTTGAATTTCAAAGGATGTATGAAGCCCACATACTTCCAAGTAACATGCTCTATACCTATCAAAAGTCATGGTATTATCATGGGTTATCATAACTTCATCGTAATTCCCATAAAATCCAATTTTGGACAATATGGGAGCATACAAATTATACCTAAATGTATCACTCAGACTCAAGTCTCCTTTTACTATGATTAAACTTAGAGAGTGAAAAAAAACAGTCTCCATCTCCTGGGACTGTTTAAGGTAGATATGTGTCATAATTAATGACAAGATTTGTTGAGAGTTTGTCAAAGGAAGTACAGTGACAGTATACAAAATTAAAAGATTGTGAATTTGAATATATATATTTTTTTTTTAAACTTTTGTTAAGTTTTGAATTTCACCTGCATTTGTCTGTTAGCTAGGAATAACAGTGACCACATACCACAGTATAACCAACTTCATTATCACTGTAACTTGATATGGATTATGGGAAATTCTGTAGCAGATTTTACTATCTTCACCTCCGGCTACGTTTCTCCTTAAATTTATTGCTTGCAGAGGGTTTTTCTGTGTTCCCATGGCTGGACGGAACTTTTAAACTACAAATGTTATCATTAATTATGATATTGTGACTTTTAAATGAAGTACCTGTGGTAATTTAGGAGATTTGTCACTGATAGTGGAAAAATGAAGCAGACGATGAAATATATGTTACATGGCGTAAGATGTTGTTGTCCAAACTTCGGTTATTTCCGTGGTACAATAAAATTTAAATAAACTGCACAAGTTACTAAAATTTCTAAATTCTTGTTTTTGTAAACAAATAAAAATTCATGTCGTATTTAACATCGAATTTATTCCGTTTTGTCCCGTTTTTTCAAGATCGCGATTAAACGAGAATCTGGTAGCCATTAAAAATATAAGGGTTAAACTAATGTCCTGAAATAAACTGGCCACCCGCTGATTGATACTTCGACACAAACAACGGGTCAGTGGTAAATTGATATCGGCTGATTAGACCATCGCATTGGTCAATTGACTTTTCAGTGACTCTAGAGATATTCCGATACGCAGCGTCCTAGATAAACATGGCGGACTTTGAAAAGAAAATTAGACTCGTGAATGAAATAAAGTTAGTTTTGACAACCATTAACAAATTAAGGGGCACTGAATTTAGAATTTTGAAACCAGCTCAGTTTCTGTGTATCAGAGAAGCGTTGATTCGGGACACATTAGCCGTTCTACCAACAGGATATGGAAAATCATTAATATTTGAGACACTGCCGTATTTCAGAAATTCATCTATTCTGGTAATTTCTCCGCTGAATTCTATCATAGAGGAACAGTTAGTACGCTATGGAGATAAAGCTGTACATTTGAACTCAGATATTGTACGTTGCTTAAAAACTGGTGTATTATCTGAGGACTGTCAAGCTGACATTGAAAAATTGAAAAGTTGCAATTTTTCATACATCTTGGGTCACCCAGAACAATTTATTGATAAAGCCGTGTTTGGACTTTTTAAGTCAGAGAAATGGCAGAGTAAAATCTCACATATAGTTGTGGATGAAGCACACTGTGTAGTTCAATGGGGTCATGGATTCAGGGAAAAATTCACTGAACTTGTAAAACTGAGGTCAATGTTTCCAAATGCAAGAATGTTGGCTTTGACTGCAACTGCTACAACCAAAATGCAAAATGAAATAAGAAAACAGCTTGGAATGAAGAGCGCATTGACTGTCCAATCATCAATGGACCGACCAAACATAAAATTGACATTGGTCAAAAGACCAGCTGGATGTGGTGGAAAAAACACTGTCCAGGAATCATATGATTTTATCTATCAACCATTAGTTGATGAACTACGGGCAGACAAGTCAAGTTTTGAAAGGACAATAGTTTATTCGAAAATAAATTGGTGTGGCTATGGTTATGAGGAAGTGGTCAGGCCATTGAAAAATGGAGACAAAGAGGACAATATTGAGAAATGTGTTGCCCAGTTTCACAGCCCATGTACATCAGAGGTAAATGTCTTATAACTTTCTTTGGTGTCATTAAAGAAACTATTCAAATTCAAAAGAAATTAAAGGTTTCTGTCCCATATCATCAAAATAAGAAATTATTTAAATTGCTAAAAATATATTTATTTTCCAGGCTCCATTTATGCATGTACATGTATGTTCAGCTGGGTCTGTCCAGTCATCCACTTTATCACACCATTAATTTTAAAACGAGATTTTAAATCAAATATGACAAATCAAAATTACTTTTAAAGCTGAACCGTAACAGTATAATTCTATATAGCTATATATATATATATAGTTCCATGTACATTGAGATTTAAAATGAACGACAGCTCTGTCAAGCCTGTCTGTATGATGTACCACACCATCAACAATTTTGAAAACTGAACCAGAACATTTACAACAAACATGTTACTGTACTGTTACTCATTTAGTCTGAGATTAAGAGTTGTCACTTCAGCAATCATACTTTTTTTTTTGTTTTTTTTATTGTTAATACAGGTATATTGCATCGGTCTGACAATGTACATGTACCCATAATTTTTTTTTGTGTTATTATAGTATGATAAATTTTCAAATATTTCTATTTTTTCAATTTTCTAGATGAAGAGCAAAGTTTTGAGTGACATGGCAAGTCCTGGAAGTGACCTTAAACTGCTTTTTGCAACGGAAGCATTTAGTATGGGTACAGATTCACCAAATGTTAGAAGGGTTATTCATGCTGGAGTTCCAAAAACACTAGAAAGTATGTTTCAAATACAATTGCAAATTAAGTAGTCTATAATAAGATATAAAATTTCACTGATCACTCGAGATGAATTTCATTGAAAATTGGATTTTGTCCTCTAACTATATGCTTTCAGATATCACACCGAACAAAAAAAAAAGCCTCATTTTCGACCTGTACACTTGACAAGTTTACGATAAAAATTAAAACAAACAGACAAGTTACTTGCATATTTATAGTTTTTTAATATATATACATGAATGTATTTCAAAACATCATAATTCAATGGTACAAAAAAAGCAATAAATAATATGCATATATATATATATATACAATGTCTATACATATGTACAATTAAATTCATCAATTTATACACACACAAAAAAACAAGTTAAATACTGTAATACAGTATTGGAATGTCCATTTATAAAATTTTGTATAAATTTATCGTTTTATACAAAAATCTACCAGTAAAAACCTTTGTTAACGTTTCAAAATTTGGAATGTTCTTAATTTAAATTAACCTATATATATGTACATGTATGTTATACATGTGTTTTTACATGTATGCAAACATAAACAATGATAGATAACAATTAACAGGTTAATTTATTTTCATTTCAGTATACATACAAGAAATAGGCAGAGCTGGAAGAGATGGTAAATCATCAACAGCTATTTTGTACTATAACAAATCTGATATTTCACAAGCTGTTCCTGGTATGACAGATGGAATGAGAGATTATTGCAATTCAAAAACTTGTCGACGTGCCTATTTATGTGAACATTTTGGTTGTGAATTCAGTGAAATGAATTTCAAGCATGAATGTTGTGATTTATGTGAAATGGAATGCACATGTAATCAGTGTTCTGAAACAAAAAGTGAAATTCCAAGTGAAATGGAACAAAGAGACAATATCATTGATGTGCCACAATCTGCTACTGATGTTGGTTTAAAATGTTCAATATTAGCAACTGTTATCGACTATTTTGAATCAGAAAACGAATGTCTTAACATGCCAAATGCAGCAATTTATACAGGTCTCACCAAAGAGCTTGCAAATTTGATATCTGAGAACTATCAAGCCTACCTTTCTGGTACCATTATACTAGAACAATATCCTAAAATTGGTCCAGAAATTGCAGAAAACATTTCAATCATTGTTCAAAGTATTGTGCTAAACAATTCATATTATTAAAATCTTAATTAATCATCATTATTTATTATTGTATTTTTGCAGACCAGCAGTTGTATAGATATGGTTTTAGGCTTAACCAATTTGATTTGTACTTTTTTAATTCATGCACTAATGCTGGGGAAAAAAAACCATTAAGGTGATCAAAAGTATTTTTTCTGCATTTAATAAAGAAATGTCAAGTCAAAGTATAAAGAATGGAACTGTGGAATGTGTCAAAGAGACATCAACCTAACCAAAATATACAAATTCAACCGAATGCTATCAATGTGACTTAAGTTTATTCTTATGAATCTTGTGTCATACAATGTAAAATGCATGTTTAAAGACTTTGAAAGTGATGCCACGATGTCTTGATCTTTATTCCATACAACTATAGGAGCCAAAAAGAATATTTGAATTGTAATTGAAAGTATAGCATATATATATAGCTGCAGTGCGGAAACATGCCCCCAAACACCACACTGAGGAATAAACCTTATTTATTAAGATAACTTTTTAGAAAAAAATGATTTGAAAAAGAGAGGATCTTGGATAAACAAAACAAATTTTATCACATTTTAAAAAACATATAGATCGATTCTTTATATCTATATATATATATATACATTACATGCATATTGGTAACACATTAAATAAAATGCTCCGCTGGGGCGCAGCTTGATACGACCGCAGAGGTCGAACCCTGAACAGTTGGGGCAAGTATGGACACAACATTCAAGCTTCATACAGCACTGAATTTGGATTGTAATTAAATATTTGACACAGCATAGGTTTCTGATACAGAATGAATGTGGTCTAAGAACTTAAAATTTTTTAATTTACCTATTCAAACCATATCATTATTATTTGCTTTTATATATATAAATCAAAAATAACCAATTTAAAATGGAAAATTTTAAAGAAAAAAAAAAGGAAACCCCCCCCCCCCCAAATTTTTTGAACCCCCTTATGATTCATCACCCCCAAACTCAATCCCAGCCTTCCCTTTGTGGTATGGTACCTTGCAGTACAATTTCAGAGAGATCCATACACTTGAACACAAGTTATTGTCTGGAAACTAGAAACATGCTTGTTTTTTGGCCCCAAATTCCTCAACGTTTAGGGCAATTACCCCCAAACTCAAACCCATCTTTTTCTTTATGATATGGAACCTTGCAGTACAATTTCATAAAGATCCATACACTTACACAAAAGTTATTGTCCTGAAACTAGAAAAATGCTTGTTTTTTGCCCCTTAATGGCCCCTAATTCCTAACATTTTGAGGCAATTACCCCCCAAATCAATCCCAGCCTTCCCTTTGTGGTATGGCACCTTGCAGTACAATTTCAGAGAGATCCATACACTTAAACTAAATTTAGAGTGCGAAAACCAATGTGTCTTCGGACGACGACGCCAACGTCATACCAATATACGATTTTGCAGTCGTATAAAAATGTTAAAGTTAGCATGATGAGTAGAGAATTAATTTCCGAGTTCAGTAGCATGTTTGTATACATTGCTTTCTATCCAAGAATGAAAATGATGCACATCCAAGAGCTTGTCCATTCTACTAGATATTGTTTTAAATGAGTCATGAGATCTGCCTGCTGTAAAAGTGAAAGGATTTACATTTTGCAGGTCGAATATTATGTCCAATTCATCCTTGATGGCATCAATGCTGGAATGTTTTTTACAACGGATGATTACTCCTGAAGTTTTGTCAAAATTTTCAGCTATATCCTTTATTGCTGGAAGAGCACTTGTTCTTGTCGTTATGTTTTTATCGGTCTTATTTGAAAACATGTGTTTAATGTTACGTTTTACGGACTTCACAATGTATTCCATTTGTAAATCACATGGTATATGGCTGTCTATTTTCCCTTTAGTGTTCACGAATAGTCCATAAAACTCTTCATGTGCCTCCTGCTCTGACAATATGCACAACTGATGAACCAATAATCTTAAAATTTCATAGGCATACTTGGACAAGTTGTTGTTTGCCTTGAAATGTATCATGCAAACTTTCAATAGTCGTAGACCACGATCCCTATCTGGCAGTTTGCAAAGATCCAGTATTGCCTTGAACTGTAACCCAAGTTCAAGACATAAATGTCCATAATTTTTCACTTTGTCTTCTTGCGGTGTTTGTGATTTCTGCGCCTTTTTAATTACATAGGACCGTCTCTTTCCATTACTTAGTTGAATTGGAATGACAACACCATCAACTGAAATGATAAAATTATTTGTAAAATACATTCGAAATTTATTAAAGGGGCATGTTCACCTATTTGACACAAATTCTCATATTAGATTTATAACAATCATATACACAATGTTAAACATTTATCCAAATTATAAAAAGTGTAAAATAATCAATTTACATTGAATTTTTTTTTTCTCTTCCTATTTTGAGTTTTTATTATCTTCACAAAATTGCAATTGAATGAGAATAAACATGATAAATTGATTTTAATAATCATAATTCCTATTCCGGATATTGTTTTTATTCAACATTCCATTATTTTTTTTTAATTTCTCAAAATATTTGTTTCTGTATTAACCATGTTAACCTTTTGCCCATTTTGTTTACTGATCAATTAAATATTAAAATTATATCAGAATTTCACTATAAGAAGCTACAAAATGTATAATGTACCACTGATTTCAAGACTTCAAATAAAACCTTAAATGCTCAAATTAAGAAGTAAGGAAACAAACTCCATTTCTCGATTTCAGTAAACTTTTTATGTATATTAATGATTTAACATACCTTCAACATTATCCTCTTGGTTTTGTTTGTTCTCTTTATCCCACACATAGATTTCAACAATTTTTTGGAACATATCCATCACCCATTCCTTCTTTTGGTCCTCTGTACAAACATTGTCTGGTAATACATTTTTTCTTGGTGCAGAAAACACACTTTCCATATCAAAAAAATGGGTAATGGCCTCAACAATATATGCATCTGTGAATGACACAATAAAGTCCTTATCTGCATCAAAATGCTCATTAACATTTGGGTTCAAACTCGTTCTTAGAACCCTATTTGCTTCACATTTTAGGGTGCCTTGTTCCTGCAGTCCTTCTTCACTATGCAAACGTTTGAACATCAATTTTACATAGTTCATTTGCATGTGAAACAATTCGAAAGTTATTGGTGATAAATGTTCGAATCTATTGGATGGTGTGGCAGCTCCTGATCTTAATCTCTTTGCTCCAGAATACCGTTCACGCGTCAACTGGTCACCCCCACAATGAACGTGCGTATTGTTGTTAAAGTCCAATCCAGCTTTTTCATAAGTGTCACTTAGGAAATTTTCATAATAGTCCATAATCTGAACAACATCATCATATTTCTGTTCATTCAAATGGAGCACGGGTAAAGGAACAACCTTGTTTTTCTTCTTCAATTGCTCACTATATTGACCAACAATCTGTTTTGTAATTAATTTTTCAAAAATCTTAAAGTAAGGAATATGTTTGAAGGCAACATGAAGCATATGTATGGCATATTCCTCCTTGATATGCTTCCATTCTTCCGACGAAGGAAGGAAAAGCTGATGGTCTACTTCATAGAAAAGTTTTTGAGGTTTAATTCTGCTTATATTGTCAAAAGATAGGGTCTGAACAATCACAGCGGATCCAAAAGCATGATGCATTTTACCATGGTTGTCTTGTCTCTCGTCGTGAACATTTGTCTTCCAATTAATGTTGTCTCCTACCAAGCGAATCCTTTTCTCATCTTTCAGAGCATCAATGACAGTGGAGTTGAAATTTCCAGAAAATTTGTCCAATATGGTCAAACCATGACCATAGCTCAAACAGACACCTATAGGTTGCAATCTGTCAAATACCTGTTGATGATAAATTCACTTGTTAAAAATGATTTTGTACCAATGAAAACAACTTGACAACATTTTTTATATTCATTCTATTTGCACCGGTGAATAGGCTGTTTTAACCACAGTTGCTTGTGGAGTGGACCTCCCCCTTTTTTATTTTTTGTGTCTACTATTTTTTATTTAAGGAATGACTGTAATATTTTTTCTGTCTATGAAGAAATAACATCAAAAATGTGGTGCACACTGAATAACCCGCGTAGCGGGTTATTTTAAAGTGTGCACCACATTTTTTATGTTATTTCGAATAGACAGAAAAAATATTACAGTCATTTCTTATAATTTAATTCTAAATTCCATTTTAAACCTGAGTAAACCATGAAAAAACGTTGATGACGTCACGGTCACATGACAAAATTATGTATATGAGCTGATAAACAAAACAACGTCAGCCAATGAGAAGACGCGTTACATCCAAAATTAAATTATTTGAAAATATTTTTTCATATAAACTTATTTTAACTTATTCAGAGTGTTCTTACTCTTAAATTAACTTAATATCAATGCAATTTAACCGTTTCTTTGTATGTCATGTACGTTGCACCTCTATTCTTATTTTCCATAACGGTTTAACCTACTTTTGTATTACAGTGTAGAAATCTTGTATTCACCCATTCCACATTAAAACAAATGTCATTTAATTCCACTATGTACATTACATGTATGTAGTCATTCAAATGCTTTGTTTGTAAAGCTTCAGTTAAAAATAATTGACATACTCAAATTACCTTTGACATTTATTGTCCTATCAGAATAAAAATATAATTCATGGTTGCCAGCTTAAGTTTAATTTATTTAAAAAAAAAAACAGCATAAAAATGCCTCCTATTATGTACAATATACCTAAAAATTATGGCTACATGACCTTGAATTATTGCTTAAATAATATTTTAATGCATTCAATTTACAGAAATACATACTTCTTCACTGCTGTTTCATTTCTTTGATTCATGCTTGAATGAATAAAACTTCAATTTTCATACATGCATTCAGTCCCTGAAAAATAATCAGCATACTGGAGAATGTTACATGCAATGCTGTTAACAATGGTTAATGTGCAAATCAACGGAAAAAAATATTAAAAATGTGTAAGCACGATGGCTCAAACCAAATAATCTTGTGCTTGTGTTGTGTGTTATCTGCTTTCCACATATTTGTGCAAGCAAACAAATATTGGCAAACATTAATGAACTCTCAAAAGTCAGATACAACCTGTACAACATTGTACATGAAAGGAAAACAAATATACATGTATGTATAAAATTGAGAATGGAAATGGGGAATGTGTCAAAGAGACAACAACCCGACAATAGAGCAGACAACAGCCGAAGGCCACCAATGGGTCTTCAATGCAGCGAGAAACTCCAGCACCCGGAGGCGTCCTTCAGCTGGCCCCAAATGCTTTCAAGTTTGACCTTTTATTCTGCATTGCAATATTTAATTTCTTATCAGGAAACTTAATTATTTCTGAATTTACAGTTTTATATATGATATCATTTTTACACTAGTCATTTTTAATAGAGCTTTTCATAGCTTGACCTGTAATTGCGTTAACTTTTATATTAAGTCTTCGAATTTAGCACAAGACTGCCAGCCTCTAGCCTGTGAAAATCTTTTCTGTCTTGTTGATTTTTGTGAATTTTGTAATACAATCTTGAGAAAAATGTGGAGAATAATGAATTTGGTCCTGGAAATGCCAAACCACAATTTATGACTGTATATTTACTACTTTAGGTCTTTGAAGGAATGTTGTTGCATTGGCAATCATATACCACATCTTCTTATGTTTTAATATTACCATTACATACATGTGCATGTAATGTACATGTACATACTGAGATTGATAACTTTTAGAGACATTGTGTCAGTCATGACAGTCTTAAGCCAAGGACAGACATACAAAAACCAGGTGTGATCTCATGCTGTTTTTTAATTAACGTTACCTGAATCAAGCTACATGTGTAGGAGCATGATATTTGTTTTAAATATATATGTCAAATATGAATAAATTACTTAACAGATAAACTGTTAGATAACATAACCATGATAACTTTAAACCTTGTTTACAATTATGTAGTATTAGAAATTTTGCTTCTTTTACAAATATTATTATCCAAACATTTTGCCAAAGGGGAGGAAGAAAATATTATTTATATGAATTTTGCATTTTTTTTTTTTTAAACTGAGCTTTTTTCATCTAATTTTCTTCATCATATATTTGTATGTAGGTAGAATGTACATTTTTAAAATGATAATTCTAATTTTCTGTCATGACTAGTATTTACTGTTGAGCATACATGTATACATATACATGTACATATACATGTATGAATGTAATCCTCTGATAAAAATTATTAATTTGGTGAGTTAAAACATTTCAAAAGGCAATGGGTTAAATTTTCAAGCAGGTTCACATACATTGTATCAGGTATAAAAAAAACTGAAAAAAAAATGTTTGTTTATCCGCTTTTTACCCAACCTAATGTCCAAATTACATGTACATACAATTTTGATCTGACAATAGAAAGAAATTGTATTTCAAAATTTCAGAACTCAATTTGTTCGAATATTATTGAATTTTGATTTCGTGTCAGATTGATATACATGTATATATGTGTGTTACAGAAATAGATTAGTCATCACACTGTTTCACACATTATATATACATGTACATGTGTATGTCAGCTGCATGTTAATGTACATTGTATGTACATGTACAATGTACTTGAACATGTCATTTGTGCATATATATACATGAATTTGGTACATGTAAGTCACTGAGTTGTTAAACAAACATTTTTTTTTAACCATTCAATTAAAATCAACAAGCTATATATAGCAAATAAATTACCTTTTGATCACACAGGTTGTCAAACAGGTTGATGCTTATAACTCTCTGCACCTTACTCAGTTCATGATTTCTGCCCTGTGCAAGAACGGAATACAAAAATCCAATTCTTGGAGTTAGAGATGCAACTCGTTCTACTTTAGTCTTTTGTTCCAAACTGTCAGGGACTAAAAATGCCAGCAAAACATCAACAAGAAGAGGGAATTCTGTCACTGCCTCATTTACAATACTGTCCCAAGTAAACTGTTTTAAGTCTTCAAAATCCTTTGTCATTAATGTGCTTATTTTTCCATGCTTTCTGTTTTTCAAAATTTTGTGTTCTTTTGATAACTCCGAAAACAGTTCTTCTTTCACAAGAGTTTTAATTTCAGCAAATTGTAATATGGTGTTAACCAAAGTTTTCCGTGATCTTGTTGGCAAAACAGAAATAACAGTTGAGAATTCCTCAGAAGACAAAATGTCACAAATTTCTGGTTGTTCAAATAATTTCTTGTGTAAATCATTATTTTCTGATGTTTTCAATGATGATTCAGAAGGTTTTTTTTTCTTTCTTGAACATGCTTTCTTTCTGTTGAATTTCTCTGAAGCACTGCTTGCATAGTTGTGCTCTTGAAGTGGCAACTCATGTTTTTTGCTTAATTTTAATTCTGAACCTCTGTTTTCTGGTTTTGGAGTTGACGTTATACTGTAATTTAAATAAAATAATACATATAAATAATAAGGTAAAATATCAATTTAAAATATTCAGATACATGTACACTGTACATTTACACACATGATTCAGACATGACAGGTCATGCAGTTAGTACATGTACATGTATATAAAAAAATATTTTCTATATTAGGTACAAATAACATAAATAATGAGATGTGGTATGAGTGACAATGACACAACTCTCCATCCAAGACGCAATGTATTAAAAGCTAGCAATTATAAGTACGGCCTTCAACAAGGAGCCTTAAAAAAAATTGCTCACACCGAACAGCAAGCTACATTGTATAAAGGGTAACAGGAATGACTGAATTACACCATTATTATCAGAATAACACTTGTACTGACGGAATAAGACTCGAAACTTTAATATTAACACATATTGGTGACTTTTAAACATTGATTAAAAGGGCCCCAAAATGAACAGGAAATTCAAGGGTTTAAAGTTTGAGGGGCCGGACAGTCCCCTTTTCTTAAGAGGGATATATCATAGATGCAAAACTGTAATATTAAAGAATTGAACTTACCATTTACTTTGCACTGTACTTTTGTTGATGTCTGCTATGGTGCCAGGGGTTGTACTATAACTCTGGAAACTTGGTTTTGGAAGAATAGGTGTTAATAATGTAATGTATCCAGAATCTGAAGAATTAGAAAAACTCAGCCTCGGAGTTGTTGGTATCACATTCAGCACAGAACTGTCATTTTCTTTATCCTCTGTAATGATGCTGCATGTTCCACTATCTGGAGTATTTGGGAAAAGTTCAGTTTTAGCTCTTACTTCTATCGACTCACTCCGTCTTTTTGTTGCCTTAGATAAATGTTCTGACATGCAACGTTTACCACCTACTAAATCTAACTTTTCATTACATTTTGAACGAAATTCTGAAACTTGTTTGTCTATACTCAGTAGTTTTCTTTCACAGTTTCTACAAACGACACCTTCTAAAACATCTATTTCGCCGTATTTCAGAAGCAATGTTGACAAATTTTTCTTAAGACCAGCATCAGAATTTAGGTGTCTCCAAGTCGATCCATTTGGTAAATCAACAATCTTGCATACAGTACATATATTCTTTCCAATTTTACGAGGAGTCATATTTACTTGTTCGGCGCCATTTTCAATGTTTATAACTATCAACTCTCGTAATTAACGAGAGATAACGGTACAGCCTTAATCGTGGCTGTCTTATATTAGCGCTGACCTGTTGTTTGTGTAGATAAGATTGAAACAACAGCAGGGGTCCAGTTTAGTCCTGAAATTGTCCTTACGGATATTCCAATGATAATTTCGTTTTCAATATTTGAAGAATTGACCTTATATTTGGAGCCAAGCAAGAATACAATGTTTATTTAATAAATATAATGAAAAAAAAGAAAACAAATATTTTTAAGAGTTAGATAACTTGACTTGATCTACTTCGAAAATTTAAAAAAAAAATCGTACGAGATTTAACGAGAGTGACGAAACTTTTTAGATTGCTCATGTAGTGAGAGTTATCGTTCTTTATTCCAATTCGATGCTTCTACCATAAGTGCCAGCTAAAGCTGGCATATTAATGCGTTCCAGTTATGTCAATAGAGAGAAAATTTCAGAAGGCAGAAGTTAATTGCTACAAATCAACTAGTCATTAGATACAAAACTTATCTATACTTACTTCAGTTATTCCTCTTCTACAAAAGCTGGCTTTCGATGTATTACCAATCCCCGGCACTTCTCCTACTCCAATACCTTTCATAGGCCTGCCAACAAAACTGACATGTTTCGCTGTAACACTTGCTTTCTCAATTGTTGTGATTAAAACGAAGATCTGAAGACGCTGTAAGTTGGACAAAATATGTGTTAGACTGTTAGTCTTTACCTAAAGCTATGTTCAATGTGGTTTCTGGTGTATTATAGTACAGTTTATAAGAGAGTTCCGGGATAGTTGTTGTTTCAATGTGGAGTTTGAAAAGTGACATAATTGATAGCATTCGTATTTCACATAAAGGGAATTAAGCAAAAGGAACGAATTAAATAGATTTACGCGTCAAACTTTCTATCAAATTTTGCTATGCTTATCCGCTTATCCTCATGAAAACCTACCTTTAGGTAACATCACCAATCAGTTGATGTTTTTATAAAGCGACGTTGTATCGATTTCAACAATGCATAGATTTCTGACGTTATCACATGTTGTTTGTATGTAATTATAGAATAACTAATCGAAGAATTCAAATAGAGAAAAATATTCAACGAGTGACCGAACAACACATTAATTCATGAATGCGCGTAGCGCATGAGTTAATTATCAGTGTTGTTCGGTCACGAGTTGAATATTTTTCGATATTTGAATTCTTTGATTAGTTATTCTTTTTATTACATTGGCAAATGCTTTTTTTTATGAAATTAAAGTAGAAAATGTAAGGAACTATTATCTTTTTCTACGCATTCATAATTTGTTTTGATCCGACGTTATCGACGTCTTGACAACGCCTATTGTTGTATGACGTCAGAGGAGTGAAATAACCACGTTTATTTCACATGTGAAATTATCGGTTTTTATTTCACTGGGAAATCAATGTAAATCATTGCAACCAATGTAATAAAATGAAATCTCGGAACAGAAGTTTTAATACCTGTACTACTAAAAACGACCTCGACTCTTTTGTCTGCAATCACATATGTCATTTAGTCTCTGGTGGATATTTGTCTCATTGGCAATCACATTTTCTTATTTTTATATTCAGTCCTACTCTTCGTCTAACATATTTATGTAAGAAAAAAACATCCGTTTTTGTAAGACTAAAGGTCACATTTGAGTGGTCAAAATCGGTAGGCTCAATAGCCGTTTTGGTCAACTTTATCAGTTATGACATGTTCATAACGTCACAATGAAATTACAAATGACATATCTGGTTATTGCAGGTGATCCAAAAAGAAAATCGGAGATATTCCGAATGACGAAATATACTGGAATGGTCAACAGAGATGCGTTCGGAATCCGCTTCCCTACGCGACATTTATCTTAAACGTGACGATGATGTCCTATTTTGTTTTGCTGAAAAATGACTAAGTTCCCAATTCTATAATAGCTTTGCATAACTTCAACATAAATGTATGTGCATTTTTCTGTGTGGTGTCTGGTATCTGGGTTGAGAACTGTGAGAGAAGTTGATTACACAAATTAGTTACTTACTTTTCCCACGCACGCCCGCACGCCCTCCCGGTCATCACCATATTTTAAGCCGGGTTGGGACTTCGTCCAACCCGGCCAAAACAATATATATATAGAAGTACAAATCCAGGTAAACATTACACAAATAAGTTACTTACTTTTCCGTCGCACGCCCGCACGCCCACCGGTCATCACCATATGTTAATTAATTTTATTATAATAAACTAACAGATTACAGATGTTACAGTAGGTACAACAGCAAACAATGGGGAATAAATATCTCAGAATAGAATCAGAGGCGGATTTAGGGGGGTCCCCCTTATGGAGCTACATATATGCTAAATGCGTAGACTTTGCATGTCTAACTCCTTACGTTGCCTAGTTTGCCCCCCTTTCAAAATCGTTGATCCGCATCTGAAAATTACCTTTTTTGTTCAAAGTTTCTATAAAGAAAGATGATAACAAAATTTAGATTAAATTATTATAATTTATGAATAGAAAAAAATGGATCAAAGATTCAAATGGTCGGGTTGTGCAGAGTGTTTTATTAAACAGTGGAGAATTGTCATTCCCAAAGATTAAAATAGATAAAAAAATATCAAATGGAGAAATGAAAAAAAATCTTTAAACAACTCGATAATGAAAGGTGCACAGCTCAATAAGGTTGTGAAGTTCCAAAAGATCTGGGATAAAAAAAAAATGGTTATCATCTTTTAAAAATTTTGCTGATTAAAGGTCTGGAAAATTAGGTAAAAATCGTCAAACAATTCCAATATAGAAAGTGCACAACTGCAATGAATGTGCCATTATTCTATGAAAAATCAAGGATGCAGTAGGAGTTGTTTACACCAATTATAGTGCATTTTTTTGATTTTTTTTTTCTTCATGAAGATAAACGAATTCCGTAAGATCGAAGCAATGGTAAAACAAATTCCTCAAACAATTTCATACAAGTAGGTTAAAAACTTCGGCACGTGTTATCAATTCTATAAATACATGTAGCAGTTGCCTAACTTCAACATAATTATGTGCAATATTTCTGTCTGGTATCTAGGTTAAGAACTACCTAGGAGAAGTTGATTAAATAAATTATGTGATTATTTTCCAACACACGCCCGCATGCCCAACCCGGACAAAAAGTAAAATAAAAAAAAAAACTTTTAGAAGGAAGATTGAGCAAAAAGAGCCAAATAAGTTTAAGAAGAAATTCATTTCTTTTACATAGGGAAATTAAGTTTATTTTGATTTTTTTTTATAAATACACAATTTATAGAGTTAATTAATATAGATTAAATATCACATGTATCAAGCCAAGATGATAAATCCCGACACTATACAAATAAACTTGAATCCTTTTTCAAAACGGTTCCGTTCTAAAACCGAGTACAGGGGACTCTCAAGTTTGAATTCAATAAAGGGCACAATTAACAATAACATTTTTGTGTTGTTTGTTTGTTTGGTTGGTTTTTTTTCTTTTAGGGGATGTTGTCTTTAGTTTTTTATTTCTGTTTCATCCGGATACGTATTTCTTCAGAATACGAACGGATCTGGTCGTAGCTTACTTTGTTTTTTTGAACTAGTCTTTTTCTTTTGAAATAAATATCATTTTTCGTACATGTTATCTATGCTTGCACAAGATGTTGTTACTTTACCTGTCCAGACACATCAACGTCGTCTATGCAAGTCATTAAGGCCGTGTTTGATTACAAAGAATCCGGAACCGGGTTTGAAAACCAAAACGCTATTTTACAAGAAACCAAAACCGGATTTTCTCCGATTCAAGAAACGGTAAAACCTGCCCTGAAACAAGATTTATCGGATTCAAGATGAGCGGGGTTTAACCGGTTCTCTTATCATAGACCAGTCCATCTATAGACAGGTGTTTGGGATAAACTCATCAATGAAGTCAGTGTCCAGTAATGGTCATTGATCCGGTTAAAATATGTAAACACTATATGTGTATTCGCAAAGTAAATAGTGTGACACAGCCGTTGATTTTCTTGTAAAACGGAGTATAAAAATATGTTAAAATTGTCACATTTTGGAAATTATGGATATGAAAGTATAACTATGACGACGGCAGTTGCTAAATAAGCATTTGTCGCTATTCTATAACGTTTTGATATACTTTTTTTCTTCATTTTATTCCGAATGCATTTTTTGGGGGGCGGGGACAGGGAATTCTCCATATAGTAGAGCCTCGCTATCCAGGGTAGCTTCTGCAGTTCTCTTTGTAGAGGCATTTAGTGGAGTGGCCGTCGGTTGCTGAACCTGCGACTCGAAAAACTTTGACACGTTGTAAACTATTAAAATTTGACTGAGAGGAAAGTATCTTTTTACGCTCTGCCATGATTCGTAATACAGAATGGTTTACCCGAACTAGCAGATGTGCTTAAATAGAAAATCTAATAAGCAGTAAAACATACACGCGCAAATCGAAAAATTCTTTTTTTGAAAGCTGTATATTATGATCATATTTAAGTAAGGAAAAATACGGTGTAAATATTTTATTTTTTATATATAATTTTCATAAATCACGTTTAATATTGATCTTGCAAATAGAAAGGTTTTAAACAGAACTATACAATAGTCGATACTTTAAAATACCTAGCTATAGCACATATAAATGCTATCAATTTTAAACTATTTTATTCGTCCCATATCATCATGATAATACTCTCAGTTCTTTTGTATATCCGTTTGGTGACACTGATAGGTAATTAGAAATCAGTAATACTAATTATAATGACAATCATCCTTACCACACACATGAAAGCCATATATATATAACTGTACTGAACTGAAAATAAAGATATAATTATTAAATCAGAATAGGGTTCTTTTCCTAATGTGCACAGAGTCTTTTTGTAGACGAATATATTCTAAATAAGTCTAAATCTACAAGAAAATTTTGTAACCGCTGCCATTTCTACCCGACGATATATAAGTTGTTATTTGAAAAGACATGCAATTTGCCGCCAAAGGAGTTATCTTATCTACGCGCTCGTTCGCATTTTGTCTTTATTTTGCCTACAAGCAGTTTCCCGAGGGAAATAAGGGGTTATTTTTACGACGTGCATTTTCCCTTA